TCGTTCAGCAGTTCGAGACCCGAGGTGCCGCATGATGGAGTGAGCTCCCGTCTCTAGTCCCAGCTCCTGCCAACCTAGCAGTTTGAAAGCAAGAAATTGCAAGGAGATAAATAGGTACCACTTCGGTGGGAAGGTCACAGCATTCCGTGTGCCTCGACGTCTAGTCATGGCAGCCACATGACCATGGAAACGTCTTCGGACAGCGCTGACTCTTCGGCTTTGAAACGGAGATGAGCACTGCAACCCTAGAGTCGGACTCGACTGGCTTTTGAGCAAGGGAACCTTTACCTTTACTGAAAAATATAAAGGATAATGCATAAAGTTGTTCTACTATAAACATATATAAAATATAAAAAGAAAAAGGATAAAGCATAAAGTTGTTCTACTATAAACATATATTTACTGTACACAGATATATATATATATTTGTACGTCTTCCTAACACTGTGTCCCTCAGCATTTGTATTTCCTACTTGGAGAACTGCCCTGTCTGCCACACTGCCTTCTGCCTGCCATGAAGGGCTGGGTGACCCCGGCCCGCTTTGGAGGAGGCTGGAGAAGGGGGGGATATATTTTGTCCTACCATGGACTCACCGCTCCTCGCTCTTTCTCTGAAATCCTCCACCCCCTGTTCTCCCATTCCCCCACCCTTGCTTCCATGTGTGCAGCTGCTGATCCCGCATACCCGATACACCCTCCACATCAACGTCCTCGGCAGGGTCCGCCTCTTCAGCCCGGGAGGGCTCATCGATGAGGTAAGCCCTATCAAACCCATCAGAGAGGTTTGCGCATGAGAAGAACTTGAACGTAACCAATGCGCCAGGGGGATAACTCCTCTCTTGTGGCAGTACAGAAATATCAGATGCCAAGGTCTCATTACACGATTCACGTGTCGTCCGTCAACTCGTTTCTCCCTTTAGGCCCTGTAAGATAAGTGGAGAGAGGAGAGGAGTCACATTACATGGGTGTAAAGAGGCTAACAGGAGCCGGAAAGCTGCCGTCCCCGTTATCTCTTCCCGCTGATAAGGAAACTGCTTGCTCAGCTGGAGCCAAAAGAGTAATACAGTAATACGTCAAGCGATTGACAGGATGTTTGGCGGGGTTTGTTTTATCAGCAAACGGAGAGAGATACAGTGATCACATACACAGAATGTTTTTTAAAATTGGTTCTCTGTTCCTTTTATGCATGCATGACGTTTTTCGTGCGGAAGGTGAGGCCTCTAGCAGGCAGAGTACAGGAGGGGCATTTAAATGCCATGGTCACAGTGTTCCCTCTAAGCTGAGTGAGTGTGAGCTAGCTCACAGTTTCTTAGCCTCAGGCTCACACATATTTGCCTTAGCTCAGGAAGGAGGGCTCCAGAGCAAACTGATGTATGCAGCAGCCCAATCGCTCGATCCCAACTCGAATGCCAGCCACTCCCAAAGTAGAATTTTTGCTCACAAGACTCCATAGCTTAGTGGGAGCATTGGTCACAAACCCCCCTCCATGTCTTTAATTACCTTATACACCACTGGGTAGTTCAAAGGATGGCCCCATCAACTGACTAACATTCATCTGCAGACAGAACACAAGCACTTGGTGTATTGGTTCTGTCATCACTTAAGGACAGTACTTCAGTCTGAATCCAGCGGCCCCTTGAAAACCAACCAGGTCTAATTCTGGATATAAGCTTTTGCGTGCAGACGTCCACACTTACGTACATGCAGACGAAAGCTTATACCCAGAATTCAACTTGGTTGGTCTTCAAGGCGCCACTGGACTCAAACAGGCCCTGGTATCAATCTAGTGCAGTGGTGGCGAACCTATGGCACGGGTGCCAGAGGTGGCACGCAGAGCCCTCTCTGTGGGCACGTGTGCCATCGCCCCAGCCAGGCCCAGACCCTCATTAAAGTGTCGAATTCTCTGCCAAATAATTTTAAGTAAATGAAAGCATTTGGGATTGCTTTCCTTACTTTGTTTGGGTCATCTTAAGTTAATGTATGAGTTGTTTTTTCTAAAGTAAAACCTCAGTATTCAGGTTAAATTGCCGTGTTGGCACTTTGCGATCAATAAGTGGGTTTTGGGTCGCAGTTTGGGCACTAAAAGGTTCGCCATCACTGATCTAGTGGTTCTAGTGGTTAAGAGTGGCAGACCAGGATCTGAATGACAGAGGTTCAAACCCCCACTCATGCCGTGGAAGCTCGCTGGGTGACCTAGGGCCAGTCACTCTCTCTCAGCCTAACCTACCTCACAGGGCTGTTGTGATGATAAAATGGAGGAGACGAGAATGGTTTGTGCTGCTTTGGGTGTCCGTTGGGGAGAAAGGTGGGATATGAATTAAGTGAATGAATGAATGAATGAATAAGCAAGACTGTGGGAGTCAGGTGGGCCACACAGGGGTCGTTTCATAGAAAAAGAGCTAGGGGAACTCATTAGCATAACTCATTAGCATATGCCACACACCCTGACATCAGGGGCCTGGCGGTGGACCTGCAAGGCCAGCGGGAGTGCAAGGAAGCCCTGTGAAGGCCCTCCCTGGCCCCAGGCAGGCAGGGGTGGGGAGAGGCGGGGAGGAAGCAAC